GGATTCTTTGTTCAGCTCGGACAGCGGCTTCAGCAACTACCGCGGCATCCTGAACTGGTGTGTGGTGATGCTGGTGAGTGGGCTGGCGGTCGGGTGGGGTTCGGTGGAGCTGGGCCGCCGCTCGTGCACAGAACTCGTGTGGCTGGGGTTTGTGGGAGGGCCTCTGCGCTGTGAGTTGCGGCTGAGGGTCCCTGGGGGGCAGAGGGGAGGGACCGGGTGGGTGGCTGGCCCCGGGCTGGCAGCTCCCGGGGCGCGGGCGGGCGCTCTGTGGGAACAGGCTTCCCTGGCAGCGTGTGCCGGTGGTCGTTCTTGCGGCCCGAGAAGTGCCCCTCCTCCTGAACGGCCCTTGTGGGTGTGGGGCCCCTGGCTGGCCCAGCCTGGGGCCGACAGGGGTGAGGAGGTGGTTTGTGGGCTCAGGGCGGCAGCCCCAGCCCCAGCTCTGCGGACCCCCAGCCTCTCCCCCTCAGCCTGGCTCGCAGGTGCCCCGGGACAGCGCCCCTGCCTCACCTGTGGCCTGGCGGGGGCCCCTGCCTCTGGGGCCCAGGTCCCGCTGGGACCTTGTTGGGCTGGGACCAGCAGTCCTGACCACGCAGGGGCTGGAGTCCAGGGCTCCAGCGGGCGGCCCGTGGGGCGGGGCAGAGGGCCAGGGCCTGTGGGGCCCAGCCCCCAGCACTGGGGCTGATGTGGCGGCAGGCCTTCGACCCGCAGCCCCGCAACGCTGACACGCCTGCCTCCAGGTCAAAGGCAAGGCTCCTGCGGCGGGAGGGGCTCTTGGCACACCCACAGCTTCCCGCCTGCGGCCCCAGGATGGGCCCGGGAGACGTGGGGGACACGTTGCCTGGTGGGTGAGAGGCTGCTGGGCAAGCAGATACGCTCAGGAGACAGTGTGTCCTCGCCCCTGGAGGCCACTGCTGGCCTGGGCTGGGTGTGCAGCGGGGCTTGGCAGCCGCAGCACCGTCCTCCTGAAAGGCCCTTGGTGCCGCCCACGGCCTTTCCCCTGCTTCTGGCGCCCGCGCCACCCCCGCCCCGCGATGGCAGCTCTGCGCTGCGCTCAGGGCCGCCGCCAAACCCCCTCTCTTGCAGATCCTGAGCAACGCACGGTTGTTTTTGGAGAACCTCATCAAGTGAGTGTCTTCCCCAGGACCCCAGCCCCACCCGAGGCCCCGCCGCTCTCACGGCCCACGCGGGTGCCCCTGCCTGCTCAGGCCCTCATCCCCCAACCCACAGGTACGGCATCCTGGTGGACCCCATCCAGGTGGTGTCTCTGTTCCTGAAGGACCCCTACAGCTGGCCCGCCCTGTGCCTGGTGATTGGTGAGCTGGGCACCGAGGAGGCCCTTGGGGGGGACAGGCCTCACCCACACCTGACCCTGCCCTACGGTCTTCTGTCCTCAGGGGCCAATCTCTTCGCGCTGGCTGCCTTCCAGGTGGAGAAGCGCCTGGCGGTGGTAAGCAGGGCCCTCACCCCCTGCCCCGGCCGGAGGTCTGCTGCTCCCCAGGCCTGGGCTCCAGGCAGGGGGTGCCCCGCCCCACTGAGCATCGCGCTGTGCCTGGCTTTCCCCGGTGGGGCTGTACCCTGGGCCTGACAGCCTTTCACCGGGGAGACCCTTTGTCCAGGGAGTGGGGCCCCTGGCTGAGGACTGCTCCCCCTTCCCCCCAGGGGGCCCTGACGGAGCAGGCGGGGCTGCTGCTGCACACGGCCAACCTGGCCACCATCCTCTGCTTCCCGGCGGCCGTGGCCTTCCTGCTGGAGTCCATCACTCCAGGTGCCCCCACCCCGCCCCACCCCAGCCCGTCCTGGGGACCGCAGGGGAGGCCCAGCCAGCCTCGGGGGCCGCCCCGGGGCCGCAGCTCTCCGGGGGGCGGGGTGGGGGCCGCAGCCTGAGCCCAGCTCTCCCGCAGTGGGCTCCGTGCTGGCCTTGGCCGTGCACACCATCCTCTTCCTCAAGCTGTTCTCCTACCGGGACGTCAACCTCTGGTGCCGGGAGGACCGGGCTCGGGCCAAGGCCAAGACTGGTGAGGGGCTCTGGGCCACGGGCGGGGGCGGGGCCGGGCGCAGCAGGGCCTCACCTTCCCCGCCCTCTCCTCCCCTCGCTGGCCCCAGCCTCTTCAGGTAAGAAGGCCGGCGGTGCGGCGGCCCAGCGTGCGGCGGCCCAGCGCACAGGCGCCGTGAGCTACCCGGACAACCTGACCCACCGAGGTGAGGGGCCTGCAGGGCCGGCCGAGGGCGGGCCGGGGGGCCGGGGCCGGGTGCTGGGGTCAGCAGGCCGGCCGGGTGCCAGCCCCACCCTCCCGTTCCAGACCTGTACTACTTCCTCTTCGCCCCTACGCTGTGTTACGAACTCAACTTTCCCCGCTCCCCCCGCATCCGAAAGCGCTTCCTGCTGCGGCGGCTCTTTGAGATGGTGAGGCTGGGGGCTGGGGGCCGCGAGGGGCTGGAGGCTGCCAGATGCTGGGGGCTGAGCCGGCTGCTCTCTGCTTCCTCCCCCAGCTGTTCTTCACCCAGCTCCAGGTGGGGCTGATCCAGCAGGTACGTGGGCCAGGACGGGGTCGGGGCCGGGGGTCCCACCCGGTGCTCTGGGGCAGGAGCTGACACTGTGCCCTCCTTTGCAGTGGATGGTCCCCACCATCCAGAACTCCATGAAGCCCTTCAAGGTGAGGGGTCAGGCTTCCCCATGGCTGGAGGGGTGGGGGCGGCCCAGGGAGCCAGCTGAGCCTTGTCCCCGCAGGACATGGACTACTCGCGCATCATCGAGCGTCTCCTGAAGCTTGCGGTGAGCGGGCTGGGCAGTGGGGCAGGGCGTGAGGGTGGGGCCTTCGGGAACCTGACTTCGCCTCTCCCCCAGGTCCCCAACCACCTCATCTGGCTCATCTTCTTCTACTGGCTCTTCCACTCCTGCCTAAATGCCGTGGCCGAGCTCATGCAGTTTGGAGACCGCGAGTTCTACCGGGACTGGTGGTGGGTGACTCTGGTGGGTGCTGGGGCCGGGGCCGGTCAGGGTCACGGCGCCGCCTGACCACCGCTGCCTCTGAACCCCAGGAATTCCGAGTCTGTCACCTACTTCTGGCAGAACTGGAACATCCCAGTGCACAAGTGGTGCCTCAGGTGGGTGTGAGCCTGGGTGCGGGGCGCTGGCCAGCCCGCAGGGAGCCTGGGCGCCTGCCCACAGCCTCCTCTCCCCGCAGGCACTTCTACAAGCCGATGCTCCGGCGTGGCTACAGCAAGTGGGTCGCCAGCACCGGTGTGTTCCTGGCCTCGGCCTTCTTCCATGAGGTCAGTGCTGTGTGGGCGCCCTGCCCTGGGCTGGGGGCGGGGGCCCGGGGCCCGAGGCCTGAGGAGCAGGCTGACGCCCGCCCCTCCCGCCCACCCAGTACCTGGTGAGCATCCCTCTCCGCATGTTCCGCCTCTGGGCCTTCACCGGCATGATGGCTCAGGTGAGCACCTTGTGGTCTCCTCACCCACCCCTCTGCCTGCACCGGGTGGTCGCCGTGGCCCCTGACCGCGCACTCTGCCCCCAGATCCCACTGGCCTGGGTCGTGAGCCGCTTCTTCCGCGGCAACTACGGCAACGCAGCGGTGTGGCTGTCGCTCATCATCGGGCAGCCCGTGGCCGTGCTCATGTACGTGCACGACTACTACGTGCTCCACCACGAGGCCCCGGCGGCCGGGGCCTGAGCCGCCGCGCCCGCGCCTCGCTGCCGCCGCGCCGCCCCCGCCGGAGTGCTCAGCGCAGGCTGCCTGCTCGGCACTGCCTCCTGGCCCGCAGGAGGCCTCTCTGCCCCTATGGGGCCGCCTCTTCCCCCCTCGGGAATGGGGGACTCGGCACAGGCCAGCACCTCAAGGGTCTGTGCGGGTTCTGCCCAAGGCTCTGAGGGTATCAATAAAGTACTGTCCAGAGTGACCAGCTTTCCTGAGGGTGCTGGGCTGGTGGAGGTGACAGCCACACCACACGGCCCCTCCCAGAGGTCCATGGGGGCAGCTGCTCTGACGGCGGCGGTGCTCCTGAGCTGCGGACCTGGGCCCCACGGACCGCCCTGGGAGAGGCTGCCGCACTGGCCTGCGGGGCACCCTTGGTGGGAGGGAGGGGCGGGGGGGGGGGGGCGGGCGGGCTGCACACAGCACGGGCCTGAGGCGGCTCAGCTCGGCTCACACTTCCGTCCAACCACCTCCCAACCCATTGATCCCATGCGTGGGGCGGGGCCCTGCCCACAGCCTCCCTGGACGTGGACCTTGGCTCAGGGCAGGAGCCCAGGGCGTGGAAGAGGGTCACGCATCAGCACCAGATCTTACACGTGGCCTCCCCCCTCAGCGGAGGCCAGAGCACATGCTCCAGCCGCGGAGCTGCCCACACCTGACCTGGGCGGGGCCCCAGCGCGCCCTACCTGCCCTCCTGCCCCCAGGGCTGGGCGGCCCCCACAGTGCAGCCCTCAGGACGCCTCACCCCTAGACCCTGCCGCCAACCGGGAGGGTGGGAGGCCGCCGTGGGTCCCTGCCCCTTCATCTCGGTGGGTCCGCTCAGGGCGCTGGGCTAGGCCAGGTGTGCCCGGGCTGCGGGGCCAGCAGCTCAGGTGCCCCCACCCACACCCTCCCCTCCCCTGGGCCAGAGGTGCTGGAGGGAAGGGGCCCACCTGGAGACACCCTTCGGAGCTCAAAACGAGGCCCCTCCCCGATGCCCACCCAGAGGGAGACAACGGGGGCAGTACCCCCCACCCCTCGGCTGGCCAAGTGCAGGACACGCAGCAGGCTGGGCCCCACTCCCCTTCCCTTGGACCAGAACCCCCAGTTCCACAGCCGGCCCCGCTCCCCGAGGGCGCTCTGCTGGGAAGACACGGGAGTGGGCCTCCAGTGGGGAGCTGTGGGGGGGGGGCCTTGCAGCCCCGACCTCCCCTTTAACGATCGCTGCGCACACAGGTCCTGTGGAGCCAGGTGGGCACGGGGTGCCCTGGGCCTTCCCCACTGCCCCCTGGGAGGAAGTGGACACAGGAGGCCATGGGGTAGAGCCTGTCCTTTATAGATCTCTGCCTGTCTCCGTCCGTCCGTCCGTCCGTCCGTGTATATACCTGCATATTTCTATAGAAGTGGAAAGGGGACTTGTGTAAAAACCCAAAATACAATTTGACTGTGAACACCCCACAGTACTAGTCAGTCCGGCGTGGCTGTGAAGCCCCCAGCAAGTCATGGTGAGCGGGCCCGGGCCCTCTAGGAGACAGTGGGGTCCTTGGCTTTGGGGGGCTCGGAGCCCGTCAGCAGGGAGATGGTGGGGTCATCTGCGTAGTCGTCCCCCTCCGAGAAGTAGGGGCCCTCCCCCAGCTCGAAGAGCACAGGCAGGTCGCTGCTCCCCACGTCCACGGGGCCCGGCTCCATCAGGAACAGGGGCTGCGCCGTGTAGTGCACCAGCTGCTTTCCTGGGGGGGGGAGGCGGGGTTAGGGTTTGGCTGGAGGGGGTGGGGGGGTGGCAGGTGGGCTTGCTCACCTGAGTCGGGACTACTGTCCTCCACCTCGAGAGGCTTGGGGGGCTCCTGGGGAGACAGGAGCTCCTGGATCTGCGGGCACAGGAGGGCAGATGAGGGTTCCTGCTCACGCCCTCCTCTCAGCCCTGCCCCTCCCCACCCCTCCCCCACCCACTCTACACACACTGGCCAGGCTGCTGTCCAGGTCGGGCAGGTTCATGTCTGGCACCGAGGGGCTGAACAGCTGCGAGAGAGGAGGACAGTCAGGCAGTGCCTGTGAGCGGGACGGGCCGGGGTTGGGGGCGGGCAGGCGCGACTCACATCCAGCAGGGCAGTGGTGTCCACGCTGAAGCCGTGGCTCGTCAGCATGGTCTGCAGGTTGTCCAGATTGGAGTCCATGGCGTCCAGGTGCTCACTGAGCTCGGCCCTGGTCAGAGCGACAGGGGTCGCTGAGGCCCTGCCCCAGGCACCCCCCCACACCCTCCCCGGCAGCTACACCCCTCCCTGCTGGAGGCCAGAGGAGCGACGTGTACGTGGGTGGGGTCCGGGGGCCTGGCCACTGTGGCTCGGTGGCTCGGGCCACGCTGCTGGTCCTGTCCTGCCAGGCCCCGCCAGGCCCCACAAGGCCCCTGGCGGCACTTCAGGCTGGGCCACGGTGGCAGGGGGCCCAGGGGGCTCGGGGCTCGGAACAGCTGGGGGCAGTTTTTCAGGCGCAGTACGTCTTGCCTTCGCACTGGAAGGCAGCAGGGACTGGGGGCAGCGTGCAGGCCTGAGTGTGGGGCGCGCTGGCCCGGCCCTGGTGCGTGTGGGGCAGACGCGGAGGCCACGACCGAGAGTGTCCTGGGCCGCCTGGGTCGCTGGCCGAGCGGCCAGGCTGGCTCCCGGAGGCTCCCCCGGGGCCCAGCCCCACGCGGGGAGAAGGCCGGCTGCCGTACTTGCCCGGGGGGGGGGGCCTATGCCCGTCCGTCAGTGACACGGAGCGTGGCCGGCGCCCCAGAGCCTGGGGGCCGCTCCTGCCGCCGAGGGCCCGGGATGCCCGTTCACCAGGCCGGGCCCAGGGGTCCTCAGCTGGGGAGGGGCCCGAGCTCTGGCGGAGCCCCCCCGCCCCCAGCGGGGACTGCGCTAACCCTGGCTGGAACCGGCCATGCAGAGAGGAGGAGGGGTGGGGGAAGAGGCGGGCGACCCCAGACATCTGTGGAGTGAGAGCCAAACTGCAAGATACAAAGAGAAGAGCCCCCATTGCAGGCAGGGGCCTGGCGGGCGCCGTGCCCCCCGCCCTTGCGCGCCCAGCCCCTGGGGCAGGGACTGCTCGGCAGCAGGGCCAGGGGACGACAGCAGCCAGCGCGGCCTGGAAGCAGCTGCAGTGGGCCACACGCCCCGGCTCCTGCGGCGGCAAGGCTGTGGGGCGTCCTGGCTGGTCCCCGACTCCCTCCCCACCCAGCCCCCAGGCTCTGAGCTCACCACCAGGTCTGCAGACTCACTCCTGGCGGCCCCTGTGCCCAGCCCCCCAGGACAGTCCTAGCCAGAGGCCGGCGGCACGTCCAGAGGGTGTGGAAGGCGCACTCACTTGTCCAGGCAGGCGACGCTGAGGCACTTCTCAGGGGAGGCGGCAGGCGGGGTCGAGGGGGGCCGGGCCCCTGCATCTGCGGGGGCCGTGGCGGCCGGCTCGCTCTCCCGCAGGATGGAGTCGATGAGGGCGGTTGGGGACAAGGGCGTCTCCACGACGGAGGCCTGGCGCCTTGGGCTCGCTGCCCCCGCCCGAGGGCTCGGAGGGGGGCTGGGGGGCTCCTCCTTGACTCGCACCCGGGGGCTGCTCGACGGGGGCCTGCAGGGGCGGGCGTGCCCGTCAGCAGGCCCGTCTGCGGCCCCAGCCCCCCTCCAACCGCTAGGGAGGCACCAAGGTCCCCACCCCTCGTCCGCGCTCCTGCCGGGGGCGGCCACGGGGCTGCCGGGGGCCAGCTCAGTGACGTCCGAGATGATGGGCCCGGAGCTGGGGACCGCGTCCGAGTAGAGGCTGGAGCCGCTGTAGGCCGGGGCCGGGGCCTGCCATCCAAGGGGGTGACACGTGGGGCTCGTGCCGCGGCGGCACCGCCCCACCCGCCAGGCCCGAGCGCCTGAGCTCACCGAGTAGGGGCCCGAGCCGTGGATGGGCTCCAGGGAGAACTGCCGGCTGTACTTGGGCAAGGAATGCGCGGAGCTGCTGTCGTTCAGCATCAGGGGGCTGCAGGGGAGGGCGGGGTTGGTCGTGTCCCCGGCAGCCCCCCGAAGCTGCAGGGTTGGCCCAGGCCCCGGGGCAGAGGGACAGGCACCCCTAGCGCCTCACATCTTCCTCTTCACCCCCAGGATCCGGTTGGACTGCACCAGCGAGATGAGGAACTGGATGAGCTGCGGGGCAGAGGCACGGTCAGCCGGCCGGGGACGGGCTCCCGCGGGGCCCCCGCCGGCCCGCTGCGCACCTTGTTGACGACCTTCTGCTGCTGGGCGTGCTTCTGCCGCAGGCTGGCCACTTCCCGCCACAGGGCCTCGTTCTCGCTGCAACAGACCCAGTGCAGTCACCGCGGCCGGTGCCACGAGCCCCAGGCGGAGGGGGCTCCAAAGACACTCCCCGCCCCGGGCAGGGGCAGGGCTGTTGGTGACCCCGTCTGGCTGGCTTGTCCCCACCCTCCTTGCTTGGCTGCACGTCACGGGCAGACGCACAGAGGGTCACGGGGGCCTGCCGGAGGGTGAGCTCGGGCGCGGCCAGCACGCCCCCCGCCCCCGGCTGAGGGCCGCTCAGGGGCCAGCCCGCGAGCGCTGTCCCCGTCGCCCCAGCTCTACCCAGACTGAGCCTGAGGGCAGGAGGGGGGCCCTAGGGGCAGTGACAGCCCAGCTCTTCAGGCTGCAGAGTTGGCCCCAAGGGGAGGGCAACAGCTCCCTGAGCACATGCCCCCAACCAATGAACGGCGCTGCCCTTCCCAGAGGCCAGCACCCCCTCATCTTCCTGACACCACACGGACCCCTTTGGCCTCACCCTGAGAGGCGCCCGTGTCTGGAAGGCCAAGCTCACCGGGCCCCCAGTGTGCAGAGTCAGAGGCCAGCAGCCACCTCCATGACACGGGGGCCCGGAGGACCTGCCCCCTGAGCAGCTCTGAGGCCGCCCTGAGCCAGGGACAGCCACCCAGGCTGGCGCTCCTGACGCCCCCGGAAGCAAGCCCGGGGGGGCCTCCCTGGGGTCCTGACTGGTTGCCGGACACGGCCCAGGAGCAGGGGTTCCAGGCTGCAGAGGCGACGCCCGTGCCAAGTGACACCAGGGACAGTGAGCGCCAGCGGGCGGGGCCTCGCCACCCTGGCCTGCGGGGAGGGCCCGGAGGGCGGGCGTGACAGCCCACTCCTGGGACAGGAAGTCGAGGGCAGGGCCCGGAGGACCTCCCACACACTCTGCAGGAGGCAGGGGGGCGGGAAGAGCCCCGCCCCTGCCTTCGCACGCCCCCCCCCCGCCCCCGCCACGGGGGACCTACTGCTTCATGGCCAGGAGCTTGGAGTCCATGCTCTCCTGCTTGCCCTTCATCAGCTGCACGTCAGTCAGCAGCTTGGTGACACTGTCCTGGTGAATCTTTATGTCCTCGCTCTTCAGGGTGGACACCTGGGTCCCCACAGGGAGGTCACTGCGATGGCCGCCCTGGAGGAGGGGGGTCTGGGACACGGGGGAAGGGCCAGGGGCCGTGGCCTGGAGGCCGGCCTTCACCGCAGCGGCCGGCGGGGGCCTGGGCGGGGAGTCCAGGACGGGCAGGCGGGGAGAGCCTGTCCGGCCCCCCAGTGGACGGGGTGACCCCTCACCGCCCGGAGAGCGTCCAGGAGGCCGGCTACTCACGCTGGTCACTTTCCTCTTGATGTTCTCGAGCAGCTGCTCCTGGCCACGCAGGAAGCATGGGTGCTGGAACTCGGTGTCGTCCCTCTCTGGCTTGACCAGGCCGCCTTGTTCAATGTGGACCACCTTCCGGAAGCCGTCTACGCGGGGTGGGGTGAGGGCAGCTCAGCCTCAGGGCTGGGGCCAGAGCCCCTCGCCAGCCCTGCGAGGGCCCGTGGGGGCGTGGGCGGCTCCCCTCACACCCGGCCCCGCTCTCCCAGAGCCCCTGCCTGCAGCAGCTGGGCGGTCTGGGTCTGAGACCCCGGTCCCCACACAGCAGCCCCTGCCCAGCGGATGTGGCCACGACTGGCTGGGGCCTCAGGCCCCCCAAGTGCACGGGGCCCCATGCTTGGCCCTGGCCAACACCGGGATAAGCCTGGAGGCTCCGCATTTGCCGCAGGCAGGGTCACCGGGCAGGCGTCCCGCCCCCGCCCCTCCCACCCGGAGGCAGGCACTCACACATGTTGAGCTGCCGCACGAAGCTGGCCATGTTGTTGTGCTTGAAGTACTTGGGCAGCACCTCTTTGGCAAACTGGCCTTGGTCGAACACATGGAAGCTGTTCCCACTCTGCCGGGAGACACGCGGGCGGTCACACCCAGCAGCGAGGGGACGCGTGCCCTCCACGAGCAGCGGCAGCCACGCACCCGCCCTGTGTGGGGCCGAGGCCGCAGCCGTTGCTCAGTGCCGGGCGCACATTCAGGAAGCTCCACAGCGCTCTAGGCCCCTTCCTGAGGGGACCCCACTTTCGCTGTCATCAGCAAATTTAGACTGCGAGCCGCTGAGACCCTAAGGTAAAGCAGCCAAGAACACGGGGCCCTGATTTTAGTTCCTCCAAAGGAAAACGCACAGCGCGCTCAGGAACGCAACTTCCTCTTCCTTTTGGCACACGACCTGAGCGCGGGCTGCACAGAACCCCTACGTTACACTCTTCTCTGTTTCTTTTCACGCGAGGGGTCAGGGCAGACTCTATGCTGGCGCAAGACTCGGAACGGTGGCCCCGTGCGTGCGCTAAGGGCGCTGGGAGCAGGCTCCCCGTCAGGGGAGGGGGATAGACACGTGGGGGGACCCCAAAACACCCTGGAATTTATCTATGTAAAACTGTGCATTTATTTATTACATTTCAACTTCAGTCACCTTCAAAATACTTTCCATTTGATGCAATACACCTATTGAGATATTTTTCCACTGCGACAGTTTCTGAATGCATCAATTTTTTAAAGACTTTTTTGTATATTTATTTTTCAGAGAGGGGGAAGGAGAAAGAGGAAGAGGAAGATCCGTGTGTGTTTGCCTCTCGCGCGCCCCCCACTGGGGACCTGGCCCACAAGCCAGGCCTGTGCCCTGACTAGGAATCGAACCTGTGACCCCTTGGTTCACAGGCTGGTGCTCAATCCACTGAGCCACACCAGCTGGGGCTGAACCCGTTAATTTTTATGTCTTTTAGTGCTTCTGCTCTTTTTTGTTTCACCTCTTCCATATTGGCAAAACATTTCCCTTTGAGGACTTTTTTCACCCAGGAAACAAAAGTTGCTTGGGATGAGACAGGGGAACAGGGAAGGAGGGGCACAGGGGTCCTGCCGTTTTTGGCCAAAAACTGCTCAACACTCAGTGTGGTGTGTGGGCAGGTGTGCTCATAAATCACCTGTCATGAAATGTGTAAACGTGTTGAAAGAATCTTCACACACACACACAAAAATCGCTGAGGCTGAGCGCAGCCTCTCGCAACAGCACCAGCTGGCGCGCCGGCCCAGACGGGCCCCTAGAACGCTCACCCGGCGGGGAGGCCTGCCCTCCAGAGGGCCATCCGGGCTTTCGCGGGTGCCCCCTGTACGGGCAGGGCCGCTCCAGGGCCGGGGTGCCGCTTTTCAATTCCTGCGTGTGCGGCCTGTCCAGAAGCCGCCCAGCCAGGGAACGAGGAAAGTAGAGGCTTCTACTGAAGGAGACGTGAGACACAAGAAACACTGTACGTATAGGACGATGCCACCTCAGTCCCGTTTGAAGCCAGCACCTGGGGACCTCGCACCGTTCTCCCAGTCGCCATCAGCTGCCCCGTCGTATTTTCCTGAATCTCATTGCCAGTCTGAAATCTCTTCCCTTTCAAAAGTGATTTCAGTTTTGGGAAAAGCCAGAAGTCGCAGGGCGCCAAACCTGGGTTGTAGGGGGGCTGAGTCACCTGGGTGATTTGAGGTTTCACCAAAAAGCTTTGCACAAGACGTGATGCATGAGCGGGCATGTTGCCGTGATGAAGCTGCCGGTCACCAGTGGGCCACGGCTGCGGCCTCTGAGTCATCCGAATGGTTTCCGTGGAGGAAGGCTCAAGCTTAATGCAATTTCTGATGCAGATCCGTCACTGTACTTGCTCAGTCATTTTGAATGCGATGGCTACACAGCGCACATGCTCACTCCACGGCATCTACCACCCCCACTGACTAGGACAGTGAAGTCGCCATTGTTCACTCGTGTGCATTCCAGTCCCCGCGCCTTGGCTGCCCGGTTACATCGATGTCATGCAAACCGTTCTCATTATATTAACAATGGCTGGACTTTTTCCACACAGACCTCATATATGTGGACATTAAAACAAAAACACGTAGATGTGGAGAGCGGCTTAAAGTTTTCTCCTCCAAAGCAGTAAGAAAACTGGCAAAAGAATGTTACAGCCAACTTTTTCAAACTGCTGAAAAATTAAACAAAGGGCCCTGTCTGATGTGGCTCAGTGGGTTGAGGACCAGCCTAAGAACCAAAAGGTTACTGGTTCGATTCCCAGTCAGGGCACATGGCGGGTTGTGAGCCAGGTCCCTGGTTGGGGTGTGCAAGAGGTCTCTCTTTCTTCCTCTCTTCCCCTCTGTCTAAAAAATAAACTTATAAAAAAGTAACCAAGGGGTTGTGTCTCAAACACTACAGACTCACTCTTTCTACTTTCTTGAATAAATGCTTCTTCTGTTCTGGCCGGTAGCTCAGCTGGTCAGAGCACCATCTGATGCACCGAGGCTTTGGGTTGGATCCCCAGTGAGGGCACATTCAAGAATCGACCAGTGATGCATCAATAAGGAGAACAACAGATCTATGTCTCACTCTCTAAAATTAATCAATAAACATTTAAAAATGTTTCCTCTTTCGTTACACGTCTTTAGGAAACTCCCCAGAGACTGCGCCGCTTAAGGCAGCTTTGCTTGCTCCGCTGTCTGAGGCTTTCCCAGCGTAAAAGCCTTTGCTCTGGGGATGTTTGGCTTTTCGACCTTGTGGATCCTAGGACAGTAGACAACCTCTGGGGCAAACAACAGACTCACCGGAAAACTTAAAAGGAAGAGCCGGGGAGTGAGTGAGACGTTGAGAGGTCTTTGAGAAGCTGTAAAAGCTACACACCAGCGCAGGGCTGCGCGCTGGCTGCGCGGGGACTCGGGCCTCAGCTCCCACTCGGGCTGACTCGGGGGCTCTAAACGGGCAGAAAGTGACGGGTGGAGCTGCCGGCCGCCTGGGGGGCCTCCTGCTCCCAAGGGTCCGAGGCAATGCCTGTCCCCCCGCTGCCTGAGCGCTAGGCCAAGGGAGCGGAGCCTTCAGTGGTCTCATGCAGCACAGACTACGAGAGCCTCTGAACAGACAGCAACGACTACAGGAAATCCTGGGGGCTGGGGAGGGGCAGTTCTGATAGCCAGAGTTTAATGTATTTCATGTTGCGTTAACTAAAAGTCTAGTTTTCAACAAAAAACATCCGAGACACATGAAGAAACATGGTAAGACCCACATGGAAAAAAAAGAAAGAAAGAAAGAAAGAAAGAAAAAAAAAAAGGGCAACCAATGGAAAATATTGCAATGGGAGCACCGATGTTTGACTTGCTCGACAAAGACTTTTAAGGCAGCTATTTCATGTATGTTCAAAGGCCAGAACAAAACTGCATCCAAAGAAATAAAGGAAAGCGTGAGAGTACGTCACAGAATAAAGACTAACAGTAGAGAGACAGATTATAAAAATGAACTAAATAAAAAATTCTAGAGTTAAAAACTCTAAACTCAGGTTTGGAATTCATTGCTCCGAGGAGACCAGAACCAGATTGGATGAGAGGGAATCAGCAAACACGAAGGTAGGCCAGGCAGGATTATTCAGGCCAAGAAACAGAAAGGGAAAGAAAAAGGTAAAAAAAAGAAGGAAAAGAAAAGAAAAGAAGGGAAGAAAAATGAACAGATCCTCAGAAGCACGTGATATATCACCAACCAAACCCTAAGATATGCATAATGGGTATCCCAGGAGAGGAAAAAAAGGAACAGAAAGAATATTTGGAAAAATAATGGCCCCCAAATTCTCCAAATTTGATGAAAAATACCCAAGAAGCTAAATAAACTCCAAGATAAACTCGAAGACATTCACACCTAGATACTTCATAGTCAAACTGCAGGAAGCAGAAGACAAGAGAAATCTGGAACACAGCAGGGAGCAACGGCTTCATCACGCACAGGAACCCTTACTAAGATCAACAGCTGGTTTCCACCGGAAACACGGAGGCCAGAAGGCCCAGGGATTAAGGTTGCTGGTTCAATTTCTGGTCAGGGCACATACCGAGGCTGTGGGCTCAGCCCCTGGTCGGGGCGTGTATGCGAGGCGGTTTCTCTCCCTGCTACCATCTCTCTAAAAATAAATTTTAAAAAATTAAGAAAAAGAAAGAAAATAAAGGAGCAAGTTCCACTTCTGGGACAGCAGTGAGATCAGACCCACTGAACCACTTCCACCTGAAGCAAGCGTTGATTATTTAATTAACTTAGGCTTTGGAGATTGTCCCAGAGGCACATAACCAAAGAAGAAACATTTACTCAAGAAACCCAACTAAAATTCTGCAGGACAGAGACTCTGCAGTGCAGGCAGCACAGCCCCCGCCTCCCGCGCCGCACCCGCCTGCCCAGCGGCAGCGCCTGCCGCGGTCTCCCCTTGGGGCGAATGCAGGCTGCAGGAGGGCCGGTCACCGCGTTTTCCATCTGATGCAGCTCCCTGGTGAAGCGGCGAGTGCTTGGTGGTTGCCGCCAAGAGATGGCTCCCTCCGCTTTGCCACCACCCACAGAATGGAGGCTCTCACGGGCACGGCGGGCCAAGCATCCCGGTGCCCGCGCCCAGCTGGCAGGCAGGCCGGGGCCCCAGACTGGGAGAGACAGGCCGTGAGGACCGGAGGCTACTGCACCGCACCCAGGGCAGCGGCTCGGGGGACCTGCCGGAGGGGAGGCGCTCGAAGGCAGAGGGCTCCCTACAGCTCTCCCGGGGGGCTCGCTTTGTTTGGAGCAGAGGGTGCTCTTGGACACAATGGGCCCTCTAAATAAGAGCAGGAAGCTAAACCGCAGCCAGCTTGTCCACAGAGGAAGGGGACAACCAAGAGCTCTCCAGGGGCCAGAGAAACCTCAAAGACTGACCTCAGAAACTATCACCGCTCCAGCTAAGTTTGGAGCAGGCTGCTGAGCGACGTCGACCCCAGGGCACCATCAGGGCCCCGGGACGTCCGCAGTGATGACAGAGTCTAGCGAAGGCACAGCACGGCGGGGGGCGGGGGGCGGGCGCGCACGGGCTCGGTGAGCTAGCAGAGCTCAGGAAAGAGGAAGCTCCAACAGCCCAGCCCGGCACAAAAGGAGGCGTGAAAACAGCAGAAGCAAGTTGCTAGGGGCGGGGAGGGTGGAGATCATCCAGAAGTACTCAAAATGTAGCTTTCCTTTTCTTTTTCCATTTCTTCCTTCTTAGCGAGAAAAACATCAGCTTTTTGTTGTTCTGCTCATTTATGCACTCATGGGTTGCTTCTTGCATGTGCCCCGACTGGGGATTGAACCCACAACCTTGGTGAACTGGGGCAATGCTCTAACCAGTTGTGCTAACCAGACAGGGCCTAAAATGTAGTTTTACAATAAAACTACACGGCATGTAAAGAAACAGTAAGCGTGACCCATATATGGGAAAGAACCTTGAATTTCAAAGAAGCCACTACCAATACATTCAAGGAGATAAAGACAGTTGTGAAGGAAGGCCACACGACAACCTCTCAGACAGCAGCCACGGAGACCCGAGTCGCACAGGGGACCCGACGAAGTCCTGCAGCTGAAAGCGCAATAAGCCAAGTGAGAACTTACGAGGAGGACGACCACAGAACCGACACACGTGGCAAGTGAAAACCGACTGAGGTCACAGGGGAGACGCGGGCCCTGTGACCCCACGGCGGGGGCGGGGGGGGGGCGCATGGGAACAGACATTCCAAGAAATAAGGCCTGAAAATGCCCCAAGTTTCCTTTAAAATAAATCCATAAACATGGCACAACTCTTTTCTTAGGTTACCTTTGCTTTCTTTCATAAATGCTCTCATAGTTTTATACTTGCAGTATACAGATCCTTGCTTGTTTTTATTAGATTTATATTTAAGTACTATTTTTTTTTGAGCAATTGTGATTAAAAAAATCAATTTCCTATCATTGCTAGTATGTGGAAATATAAGCAAAATTCATTTTTAGTTCTAGGATTATTTTGTAGATTCCTTAAGATTTTCTTTTAAAGTTGTACATTTAGAAATACAAAAAAATAAAGGTGTACATTTTATATTTTAGGATTTTCTATGTAGACATTCACGCTGTGAATCAAGACAGTTTCACTTTACATATACCTTTAATATAACAATATATCCATGTATTTAATTTCTTGTCACATTCCCCTAAGGTACTGGATAGGACTTCCAGCGCAACGCAGCCCGTTGTGACCTCTGCCGGGGCCCCGGGCAGGGCAGCCGTCCCCTGCCCCAGTCCGACGCTGGGCGCAGCTGTTCTTGCAGACACTTCCGGGTCAGGCGGAGGAAGTTCCCTGCTTTTCCTAGCCTCCGAGGCCTTTTCTTTTCTTTTTTCTTTTTGCCAACTTCACAAATCTCAACTTTTGTCAAATGTTTTTTCTGCATCAAATAATATGACCATGCAGTCTTTCTTTAGATTTCTGAACCATCCTTGCATTCCTGGGATAAATCCCATTTGTTGTGATGTTTTTCCTGACTTGGTTGTCTTGTATAGAAGACATAATGAAGGACGCTGGGGTGTAGCTTTCTGGGATCGTCTCTGTCTGACTTTGGTATCAGGGTGATGCTTGTCTCACAAACTTTGCTGCAGAGTTGCCTCCTCTGCTTTCCTGAAAAAGAATGTGTGTGATTGGTGTTATTTCTTCTTCGAATGTTGGAGTTTGCCTGTAGGATTATTTGGGCATGTAGATTTCTTTTTAGGAAGGTTTATAACTAAGAATTCAGCTTTAATAAATTCAGAACCATTAAAGTTATGTTTCACTTTGGGTGAGTTTTAGCAGTTTGTGGTTTTCAAGGAATTGGCCAATTATACCTACGTTGCTAAAGAGCCGCTCATGGTATTTCCTTATAATCCTCTTACTGCCTGTAGAGATATGTCCTTTTTTCCTGATATTGCTCATTTTTGTCATCCTTTTTGGTCAGTCATGGTACAAGTTACCAATTTTGACCTCCTTAAAAGAATCAGCTTTTGAATTTTTACTGTATTTTGCTGTCTTCGATTGCACTGATTTCTTCTGTTGTCTTTACCGTTCCCTTCTGCTCGCTTTGGGTTTGCTCTGCTCTTCTTTTCTCCCCCACTCAGGGTAGAAGCATAGAAACCATTCTTATTTCCAAAAACAGCCATTTAATTTCCCGCGGCACCACTCTAGGAGGCCCTCGCACGTGTTTGGAGAGCAGGCTGCAGCTGCTGCTGGGAGAGCCTGCGGCGAAGGAGGGGAGGTGGGCACAGGGAGCGCTCAGTCTCAGGCTGCGCGGCTGCGGCGTGAGGGCCGCTGGCCATCGTTGAAGCCGCCTGGGCTCAGGGAGGGCCCGGGAACCTCCAGCCCCGCAGCGCCTCACGTTTTGCTCCTGGGGTGTGTAACCTGGGACGCTCAGACAGCATTTTGGGTCAACTGCCAGATCCCCAAGGGCGGGGCCCATGGGACCTGCCGGACCCTGCCAGCTGTCGGAGAACGGGCTGGGCAAGCTCGCACGTCTCAGCCTGCTCAGCCAGGGCAGGGGTGGGCCGACAGGCCGCGAGCGCTGAGGGTGGTCCAAGGCCAGCTCAGTGCCCAGGTGTGACTAGGCCAGTTCTTTAAGTGTCTCTGGGGAGCCGGGGACCTAGACACAGGGGCTGCTTTGCCCTGGACTCTCTGACCAGAGACCCGGCCTTGCCTGCGACCCTGGCCTCGGCGATCAGCTACACACAGTAGAAAGGGTCATTCCTGCTTTCCAAGAGCAGAGAACTGCGCCAACCAGGCCGGGACCAGGGTGAGGCCTGAGAGCCACCAGGGGCCAAAATTTAAGCAGGGCCTCCAAGTGCAGGTGGACCTAAAAAGAAGCGCCCCCCCCCCGCCCTGCCCCCACCCAAGCAGGCCGGACTCCGGGCGCGGCCAGTGGGCACCGAGGCGAGCGCACAGCACACACTCAGGTCAAGGGAGTGGCGCTCGTGCTGAGTCCCCGCAGCCCCGCCCTGGGCGAGCTGCAGTGTCCTGCGGGCCCTGCCTAGGAGCCTATCAACTGGGGCACCATCCAACGTGCACCCGTAACTGGACAAGGATTCGGGCAGTGACCTGCCGCTCGTCTCGCGCTGGGCAGGGCACGAACAAAATGGTCCAGACCTAGCCCCACTGGCCAGAGCCTCTGGGGCTGGAAGCGGCCCCCGCCCTGAGCCAGTCGCTCAGCCTCGGGAGCCAGCCTCTGCCCCGTCTTCTGCAGCGGGCCAGAGGGCTCCCCGCGGCAAAGCCGAGGAGTCTCCAGCACGGAAGGGGCCGTGGCCCGACTCTGGGCCACCCGTCCGTCCACACAAGGCCCTGTGGGAGTGCATTCGACAGAGGCCACGGGGCGTGCGCGGGCGTCCCGGAGGCCGCAGGCACGGAGCCGCCCCCTTCCCCCAGCACAGCAGCTCCACAGCCGCCGCGGCCCGCGCAGACAGGGCGTCCTTCTGATCCTGAGCCCGCGCTCGGTCTCCGTTCGGTCTCCGCGTGCTCTGTCGGCTCCAGTCCCCGCCACGCCCTGCCAACGTGCGAACAGACCAGGTACGATCCAACCCTCGCGCTCCAGCAGGCTCTTCCTGCCCCCGCGGGGAACGTGCCAGTAGGGCTCACGGCTGGTGGGGCCGCCGTGAGTGGAGGCTGTCACAGGCCCGGCTGTCCTGGGCTCTCCGGCTCCGAGGCTTAGGCCAGAACACAGAATGTGGGTCCCGGCAGTATGCAGGCGGCACTCCGCCCACACGCCCCGCCACCTCTACGCAGAGACAGCAAGCAGACGGAGGAGCAGGGCAGACTGTCGTAGGAGGGTTAAACTCGGGATGCCCCAGAGGGGCTCTGCGGTTGCTCCCCGAACTGGATAAGAGCGCTCCCTGAGAATTCACAGAGCAGAACGGAGGCGGCGGCAGAACAAAGGAAAACAGAAACGTGGGGTCATTTCCTTCGGTCGGGAAAGTTCGAGGTCTAGAAAAAACAAGGGGACGGTGGCAACGTGACAGCCTGCGGGAAAGCACCCCGCCACCCTCTGGGTCACGAGCTGCCAACGAAGAGACAGGCTCCGGGGAACGAAGAGCACCCCCGGGCGCGGACGGTGAGGCCGATGGAAGGGGTTTCCAACAGGAACGCCGCAGGAGTCTAGTCTCTTCGAACATTCTTCTGGCAGGGCAGAGCTTCAGCCCACGGACAGCCTAAGGGTGGGCGAACCTGGCTGCGAGCTCAGGGGTCCTTCAGCCCCGGCTTTTCTTCCTTCCTGATGGCTTAAGAGTAGGAAAGGGAAGTACTTCGTAGAGTCTGAGAAGCCCCGCCCTGCCTGCTGGCGCACGCCTTTCGGCCCCCAGGGGTGGGGCATGTTTTGAGGCACCTGGAGCCCCTGCCTGCACGACCGGACCGCCGTCAGAGCACGACCTGAGGAGCGGCTTCTCATCCCCGACTGCAGCCCGTCTCTAATTTACCTCTGCAGACCGGAGCTGCACGGTGTGGCAGGGCCAGCCCATGTAAACAAGACTGCTGCCAGGCAACTGGGCACCGGGACGGGAAGAGAGACGCCCTGTGAGGCAAGGAAAGCAAAGCTGCTCTCGGAACCGCACCTGTGATATCTGGACACGGCTTTGACACCAACCTGAACTTTACTACGTTCTACTTTGTTTGCGCTCCCTTTCCTTTTTTGCACTTTTAGAGTCATCCAACGCCCCCGGATTCACGCGCTAAGTTCTGAATATTTTCCGAAGAGCTGTCGATCGCACAACTGGTAACTCCTTTGGGAAGACAGAGAGAGCCACCCGGACACAACCTTCCCTGGCGAAGCTGGGTGCCGTTCAAAGGCGCACCTCCGCAGCTGACCGAGAGTTAGCAAAAGCCCGAGAAAAAGAGGTCCTCCTTCCCTCTCCACTCCGGGAAAAACTGGCGCGGAGAGGAGCCAGCAAGGAGAGGGCCCCGGACGCTTTTCCTCCCTACGGGCCCCCCGCCCCCACACCGGGCGGCCGAAGCGGGGGCCTGCACTGCCCTTCCCCAGAGCGCGTCCCTCCTCACCGGGCTCCAGCAGATAAGCGCGTCGGTGTCCGGGTCGCTCACTAGGGTCCACAGCTTGGTCAGGAAGGCCGGGACGTTGCTCGGCCCCGCCGCGCCGGGGCCCACGGGCAGATCCATACCGGGCAAGGCGGGGAGAGACGGAAGTAGCGATCGCAAAGGGAGGCCGGGGCCGGGCTAGCGCCGCCGCCGCGCCTGCAGGGCGGGCCGCGCCGCCGCCGCCCGCTGCGCACACACAGCCCCGGGGCCCAGCATGGCCGCCGCCATCTTGCGACGGGCGCGCTCACGCCGGCACCACCCTTCTGCGTCCAGGGGGCGCGCGCGCGCCGGCCCCTCCCCGGGCTCCGGTTCCAGGCTCCGCCCCGGACTCCGCGCGCTTGCGCATCCTAGCTTCTCCGCTCCCCACCAATCAGACCTCACGGGGCGGTCCAGCCGCGCTCTCTGACCCCGCGGACCCCGCCCTCAGGCCCACGCGACCAAGTCGCTGCCGGAAGTGGCGGTGAGGGTCGGGACCGGCCGGGGAGCATGGTGGGTTCGAGGTGCGCGGCTGCGGCTGCGGCGGGAGCACGTCCCGGGAAGCGGCCGCAGGAGGAGGACATGGAGCCGAAAGAGGTGACAGCGAGCTACGCGGGACGGGAGCGGGAGTGGGCAGCGAGCAGGGGGACCGCGACGCGGGCCGCACGTGGTTGCCGAAGGCGTGGGGCCGAGTTCTGTGTGCGGATCGCGGACCGTCGGCGAGCCGGCCCAGCCTGCGGTGGGCCTGGGCATGTGAGCAGGAGCGGGTCGCCTCTCCTCTGCTGGAGATGGCCCGGGGGGCGTCCTAGGCAGAGAGCACCTCTAGCGCCAAGGGCGGCGGGAGGGGGGGGGCGGTTCCATGGGTAGAGGGATGTCTGAGCAGCAGAGGCGTAAGTAGGGGAGCTGGGCCCCTGTGCAGCAGCCTCTCAAACCCCTTGAATTATGCCTCCCACCATTTCAAAAGTTTTAGCTTATTCACCCGCAGTGAATACGTTTGTCGTATTTATACACTGCCCGTATGTTAGACACGGTGTGAAAACAAAAGAGGCTATGACGGTAAGAGAGTGTGAATAGAACCCTGTGACCATCGCATCGGTCACACCGTTCAAACCGGACTGACAGCGACTAATGCTGCCCAGATGAACCCCAGCTTGGTTATGGGGGTGTCATCAAAGCTGGGTCATAGGAGGCCTGGGAAGTGGAGCCTCTCTGCTGCCTCCAGCTTAGCTGGATCGCCAGGCCGCCCTTCGCTTTGTGACATGCCCTCCAGCCGCTCGCCTGCAGGCAGGCAGCTCTGGGCACCAGGCTTGGCTGCTCGCACCCCTTGGCTCTGCTCCTGCTCCTGTAACTGTGTAGCTGATAAATATTGGAGATAAACAGCCTGAGTGAGGATGCGCCAGGGCTGTTTCTACGAACGCTGAGCGGAGTGTTATGGAGTAACTGTTAAGCGCTGGCTGTCCAGTTAGGTGAGAAGCTTGTAAACACTGAGAGGCTGAAACCTGGGATCCAGCACTCGGATGCTTCCTAAACGCCTGCAAGCTCCTGCCCCACAGTGAAGGCGAGGGCGGGCCCCACTCACTGCAGAGCTAGGGAGGAGACGGTGTCTGCTTGGGACAAGCTCCAGTCCTGCTCCCTTGGGGGCCGTTTAGAGCCAGGCTTCATTTTTACCGCTGTTCTGCCGAAATTGGCACCCACTGCCTGTCCAGCCTGGTTGGGTGAGGAGGCTCTTGCAGTTGGAAAAGCCCAGTAGCGTTCTGGCCCTCTCCTGGCCCCAGCCCGTGCCCTCCTGCCCTCGGAGCTCTGGGGCCTTGCACGACAGGGTGGGTGCTGGGGGTGGAGAGCCGATGGGAGCGGGGTTCTAAGAAGAGGACATTGTCCTTCAAAGTCCTTCCCTTGGGAGATCCTGGGGCTTAAATGTCCTTCCCAGGGCAGATGAGCAGTGAGGAAGGCCTGGGTGGTGGCTGGTTGTGGTGGGGGTGGGGGCTCTGGCCTTGGAGCTGGGCCACTCGGCTCGTGGGCAGGCTCTGGGTCTGCCGCCATCAACACTGTGCTCCCTGCAGCCTTCCCTCCTGGGGGCCCCTGCTCCTGGCCCCGCGGATGACAGCGACCCCGGCCTCTCAGACAGCGAGGAGAGTGTCTTCTCGGGCCTGGAGGATTCCGGCAGTGACAGCAGCGAGGACTCCACTGAGGGACAAGATGGCTCCAGCAACGGCGAGGGCCGTGGTGGCACAGAGGAGACCGCTGGGCAGCAGGTGGGTGGCTGAGAACCCGCGGTGGGCTCTCCCGTCTGTGCGTGCGGCCAGGAAAGAGAAGGCCCACCAGGCCTTGGGCGAGGGGAGGGGGGTGCGGGGTGCCCTGCGCTGCTCTCTCGAGTTGCCTTAGGAACCTCCCCAGGCCTTTGTCCCTCCCCCGATGCACCCAGGACACGTCTGGGGCGAGGTGGCATGCTCTCCGGGGGACTCAGCCATAGGCTGCGTTTCTTAGGGGCAACTCCCGAGGTGGGGGTTTGTGGGCAGGCGGCCGCCTGGGGACACGTGAGAGAGCCGGGTCACCCCACATGACCACCTATTCTGTGATGATGGGGAGAGGTGCACCCTGCTCTTGTCTAAGGTAGGAGAAGGAGAGAAGAGCTTAACTCAACTGAAATACGTTTGTTAGAATGTTCTAGAAACACGTTTACAACTGTTTGTACTGGCTCTGTGTCCTGGACGTTCAGACCTTGGCGTGTACAAAAGCCCATCCCACAGTGCACATCAGAAAGCCATGCTGGCTTGGTCTGCTTCCTCGGGAGCAACAGACCTGAAATCAGACTAAGCCACTCACCACTCAGGCTTTAACCGCGGGGCTGGGTGTGCAGAGGAGATGGTGCCCGAGCTCTGTTGACCCAGTTGGTAGGGTTACGGGCAACTGTCCGTCCTTCTCTTTTTAAGTTTTTAAAATTACAAAATGTACCCTCCATGACAAAAACGCCAAAACCCTGCCATCAGCAGCACTTGAAAGTGGGAGTTCCCTCCCTACCCTTCTTCCAACTGGTGGCCACACCTGATAGTTTCAGCACCTTCCCCCTTTACTAATTAAGGACCCACACATTTAAGTATTTAATTTTTTAAAAAGATTTTATCTATTTTTTAGAGAGAGGGGAAGGGAGGGAGAAAGAGAGGGAGAGAATCACCTCAGTCAGTTGCCTTTCCCATGCTGGGCGACCTGGCCCTCAGCCCAGGCAGGTGCCCCGACGGGGAATCCAACCAGCAAACTTCCGGTTCGCAGGCCGGTGCTCAGCCCACTGAGTCACACCAGCCAGAGCTAAGTGTTTGAATTTTTATCTTTTTGTATAAACAAGAGATTTATAATAATTTTTAAAAATCAAAAACTTTAAGTGGAAATAATTTTTTACTTAAACTGCGGACGAGGTAACGTGTGCCCAGAGGCTGTGCTGCGGGGGCGGGGGGGGGCGCCGGCTCCAGGTGCGCCCTCGCCTGCCCCTCCGGGCCCCTGGGCACGTGCTCGTCCACCTGGGATGCCGCTCAGGCTCTGTGCCCTGTCACTGGCCGCTTCCCGCAGTCCTGCCATCCCGGGTCTGCGGGCCTGAGGCTGCAGCCAGGAGAGAGGAGCCGCCCGTCTTCTCCAGAGGGTGGGGGGCCGCGGGGGCCGTCGGGGCGGGGCCGCCCCTGGCTCCGCAGCCGCCGTGTCGCCCGCTGTCCGAAGCCAGGACCGCGGCCCCTCCCTCCACGCTTCGCCGGGGCAGCCTCGGGGCTCCAGTGCCTTGGCTCCCGCCCGTGGGGCGCCCTCCTGTGTCACGCCCGGGCTTCGGGGGCCTCCTGGCCAGGGGTCCCTGCGTCCTGTCCTGGGCTCAAAGGGGCTGGGTCTCAAGGCATGGCCCCACGGCCAGCCGGGTGCCAGTGGCTCCGGGCCGGGAGGCGACCTGAAGGGTGGAAAGCCCCCGTCGCTCCTTCCCCACCTGTTCCTGGAAGGCTGTCCACACCCCCCCGCCCGCCCCCGCAGACTGCGCTGGGTGCTGCCCTGCGCATCCCTGTTCACGCCCGCCCTGGGCCTCCCCGTCTAGGCTCCGTCGCACAGCCCGGGGCGGGAGCCGAGCCTGCAGGCCGGTCCCTGCTCGCTGCGTGCTCTCCTGTCCTCCTGCGAGGGGCCCCACGCAGCCTGCCGTGCGCTGACGCGTGGGCCCTGGCTGTCCTGTTCCTCTCCTCCCGGAGCCACTTGAGGGCTCGTGTGCTTGGACCCTGCTGCCTTGTTGGGGGAGGCCACCCGCACTGCCCGTGCCCCCCACGCGCCCTTCGGCCTCCCCCCGGGCCTGCGACCGCCCACCGCGGTGCCCAGCGGCCCCCTGGCCCACAGTGGCGGCGCCGTCTGGCCTGCAGTGCGTGTGTCCAGTGCGCTGTGCCGGACCCTCCCTTTGTCCTCCCGCTCAGCTGCTGCTTCCCTGCCTGTCGTGTTGGCCGAGTCCTTCCTCCCCCGCAGGGTCTCTCTGCTGTGTTTCCTTGGTCTCTCCTGAGAAAGGTCTCGTTTTCTTCACTAGTCCACGTCGCTGGCCCCAATCAAACAGGACCCGGTTGGGTCCTAGCCCGACACGCAGCGTCTGTCGGTGACTCCGGGAGTCCAGCCCGGGCATCTGCAGACCCTGGGGCGCGGTGCGTGGGGGCCCCTGCACCCCCGGGCTTCTCCCCCTGCAGCCCCGGGCCGGGGACACTGCCTGCAGGGCCGGCCTGTGGCCCCTGAGCAGCTCGCGTGGGCAGCTTCGGGGGCAGCGTCTGACCCCGCCCGGGGCTGTGTGGGTCTGGCACCCGCACCGCCTTGCGTCTGCACCAAGTCTCGCGTGATGGTGGCGGGGTGGAGGTGGTATCTGGGGACCTCATTTCTGGGCCGGCACCCGTTTCTGTTTGACGCGCCTCAGTGGTCTTGTTTCTTAACTCCTGCAGTGTCTCCAACCTGAAGGGCCGGGCCTGCCCGCTGGCCTGTTCGCCCCCGCCACCCCCCACCACCGCCTGGGAGCTGGGGCTACGCTGCTGCTGCCCCCTGGCGGCTGCCATCTGCCCTGCGCCTCAGGTCTGGGGGGATGCGGTGCCCTAGGGAGCCGTGCAGGAAGCGTGTGTGGAAGTCACTGTGCCGCACACAGGACAGGGGACATGCCTGCTGTTTCCTGCCAGGGCCCCAGGACCACGCCTGCGGCACAGTCGGTGTGGGACTCGGGGGTGGGCGCCAGGAGGAGCATCGGGCAGGCTGGCGCTGTGGGCGGCTATGGGCGGCGTCCCCCTGGGTGCTGGTCCCGGCTCGCAGCCCGGCCCAGGGCCTGGGGCGGCGCGTGCACGAGGACTTCGGTAGGAACGGGAGCGCGCCCTCGGCGCCCCCCCCCCCGCCCCCGCCCCGTGCCCCCGGCCGCCGGCCAGGCTGACCCCCTTTGAGCAGGCGGGGCTCCCGCAGCACCGGGAGCAGGAGTGGGGGAGACGTGGAAACCGAATCCTGCCGTGTTCCTGGCCTGGAAAAAAACTTAGTCCCCCACTCTCCTTACACTGAGGGGAAAAACAGGCAAGAGGGAGAGCGCCTTGCAGGCCTTTGGCTCCTGCCCGGGCGGGGGCGGGGGCAGGGGAGTGGGCTCAGGGCCGGTGGGCGGCGCTGTGGCGGGCTCCTGCTCCCGAGCATTCGCTGCCCCCGGGGGTGAGCCGCGGGCTGTTTTCCCCATCACCCTGGTTCCGGTGCGCCCGGCCCCCGCCCTGCGGCTGGAATCTGTTTTCCAGGTTGAGGTGCGAACGCTCAGAAACACCCACTCACTGCCCTGGTGGACCGGTCAGCCTAGGGCCAGGCGTGGTGGGCGGGGCGGGGTGCCGGGGCCTGGGCCCGCGTGCTGAGGGGCCCCTTGTGGCCGGCGGGGCGGGATGTGATTCAGCCTGGCCCCCGGGCGAGGGTCTGGCCCCAGGAGTGGGCCAGCTGTGCGCCTGGGGGCCCAGCTGCCCCAGGTAGGACACCCCGGCCCTGCCTGGTCCCCCGGCCCCGGGCTGGCGCCGGGCCCAGTGGGGCTGGCTGGTGAACTGTGGGGCAAGGATCCCTGTGGCCGGTGTTCTCGTCGAGGGGCACAGGTCCGGCTGACGGCCCCCTTCCTGGTCTGCCCCCGGCGGCCGCCCCCTGGGGGGTCCGCTCCCAGACCACGGCCGTCGGGATGGGCTTGGCTGTTGCCTGACGGACGACCCTGAGTTGCAGCCCCCGCCAACCGAGAAGCCCACTTAGTCGTGGGTGTCCCTGGGCTTGTCCTGAGGCCTGGGCCAGTTTGGAGCTTCTCAGAGGTTGGGGGCAGCGGGCGCCTTGGCCGCAGAGTCCGCCGGAGGGACAGTTCGTCCTTCCCAGGCCAGGCCTGTTCCTAGGAGGGGCCTGCCCAAGGTCAAAGGACATGGGTGTCTTGACTTGAGCCCTTTCCCCGTCTCCCTCCACAGGCCAGCAGGACCCCCGCCCCACGGACAGAGGCCTCGAGAGCGCGGGTCGAGGACGAGTACGCAGAGGACAGTTCCGACGAGGAGGTAGGGCGGGCTGTGCCCGGGCGGGGGCGGCCCCCAGCGCGGCCTGAGTGGGCGTCCTGGCCCTCGCCCCGCTCCCGGTCTGGGAGAGCGATTGCGGGCTCTGGGGCTCGTGACTCCGGGAGTGTGTGTGTGTCATTGCCGGGGGCGGGGGCGCAGCGTCCCGTGCCCGCCTCTTGGCCCTGTGGGGTGGCTGGCGCTCTGGGGTCCTCACGTAGCTCACGGGGGTCGTGCTCACACCCTGGGCGGGCCCGGGCGGGGGCTCCCCTGCACCCGCTGGCCTGTGCTGGCGCCCTGGGCACAGCTGCCCTGTCAGCCTCCCGCGGGAGACCGGCGGCTGGGTGCCACCCCTGCCCTGCCCCGCGTCCCGGAGGCACAGGTCGGCTGGGGCCCCCCCCATCCGGTCGTCCGTTCCACGTTCACGTTCTGAGGGGGGAGCGGGGACGGCGTGTTGTTGGGCCGGGGTGCTCAGCCCGGCCCTCGGGGTCCCAGTGTGCGGCGGGCGGGCGCTGCGGCTCAGCTTCCCGCTGCACTTCGGGAGCACCGGGAGCCCAGGCGCTCTGAGCCCCAGAGCTGGCCCTGGCGTTTCTTGCCTGTCCCCTCCCTGGCATCCTGGGTCAGGTGTGGCCTGGGGGCCGGGGGACCAGGCCTTTGGCCTCAGCAACGCTTCCTGCCGCCTGTCAGGGGCGGCCAGGCCTGGGGAGGGTGGCCCCCCTGCTCGCTTCCACCCCCATCCTAGGCTCTGCTGGCAGCGGCTGCAGGAGCCTTGGCCGCCCGCCCGATCCGGTCTCTGTGCGTTCAGAGAACAGAGACAAAACAAAATAAATTGGTTTCCTGGCCGGAGCAGCGGGCGCACTCGGCGGAGGGGGGCTGTGCAGCGCGGCTCCCTGCCTGCCTCCCTCCCCGGGGCTCTGGCTGTCGGCAGCCACATCCTGTCGGCTACTTTTTTATATTTGGTATTTTGAGAAATCGATGATGATTGTAAATGGAGTGCAGGCCGGGGGCGGGGCTTTCCACCTGGGGGGGTTGCTCCTGTCCCGGAGCCACTGCGGGGGCTGCGGGCGCTTCCTCCGCGATGACTATCCCATATGTGGGCTGAGTGACAGGAGGGAGCCGCCGCTGCTGCCAGCAGGGCCAGGCAGCGGCGGGAGGGGGCGGCAGAGCCCAGCTTTCGGGAGCACCGGGCGGTTGTGCCCTGCCCCCGACTCGGGCACCTCGGGGGCTCGCGTCTCCCACCCTGAGGTGGGGGCCGTGTCTCCGTGTCTCCAGAATCGGAGCCGAGCGGGGTGGGCTTCGGCCGAGGGGACCGCGAGGGCGGGGGTGCGGGGGAGCGGACGGCTGGCCGGCGCCCCGGAGGCAGGGTGCGTGCGCTGCTGCGGTCAGGGCAGCCCCTCGCCCCAGCACGTCCTTGGAGGTGGCCCGCGGGCCAGGGCCCTGCTCAGCAGCAGGCCGGGGTCCTGACCGGTGTGCACTCCTGAGGGGACCTCGGCCGCCTTGCCCCGACCCCGGGCTAGATCTGGGGCCCCTGCGGGGACGCTGGGGCTTCCGGGCCCCGTCTGTGGCCTCTGCCGGCGGGGCGGTGCCATCGCCCTCACAGGAGACCCGAGTCCTGACGCCTACGCTCGCCCGCAGCCCTTTTCCCCCAGGTTCACCCTAACCTGCTGTGGGCAAAGCCCCCGGCTAGGCCGCTGTGCCCGGCGGGGTCCTGGCCGCGTGGGGGGAGCCTTGAGGAGCCTGTGAGCTGCGCCCGCCCCGCCCCCACGTGTCCCCCTGCCCCTCTCCACGGCACCCGCACCTCACAGACGTGATCTCATCCAGCCGCCAGGACGGGGGCGGGGGGAGGGGGCTGGGGAAGGGGCTGGCGGCCTTCACAGCAGCTGCCCCTCCTCTTTGTTTCAAGCAGCTGGAGAAACTGAGGCCCGCGGTGGGCGGAGGAGGCTGCACAGTCAGGGGGAGGGGTTCAGGGCCCCTGGGAACTCTGGTCGGAAAGGCTGGGAGGACCCCAGCCCCCACCTCTGGTCGCCGCCGGCCCGGGTGGGGGCAGGGCTGCAGCCCTGGCCGGACCCTCGGCCCCTTGGCTCGTGGTTCCTCGGATCCCGCAGGGACGGCCGGGCCGTCTGCATCCAGAACCCGCGATCCCCTCTGCTCTCTCGCCAAACGCCGTTAATGGCTTCTCCCAGCTACTGAACCGGCAGCTGCCTCCAGCGCTGGCGGCCTCCGCTCCTCCCGGGGCGCCTGCCCCCGGCCGCGCGCACTCAGAGCGCTTGCGTCGCTGCTGGCAGCCCCGCCGGTTGGCTCAGGTTTCTGAGCTGTTTGTGGGGACGCCCGCCCGTCGCTGAGCCTGCGAGCGTCTCGGCCTCCCAGACCGCCCCACGCCCCTGCCTCCCTGGCGGCCTTCCACCCCTGCGGCCAGCCTCCGAATGGGGCCACTGGCCAGCACCCGGGTCTGGCCCCTGCCTCTCCGGGGAGGGGCACTGGCCTGCGCTGCGCTGCTGACCCACGGCCTGGCGGGTGGCGGGAGGGCTGAGTGGCCGTGAGGGCTGTGCAGGGCTCCAGCTCCAAGCAGGGTGCTGGGGCGGGGCCCCGCCTGGTGTGGGCCTGGCCCTTCCCTGGAGCACCCTGGTGGGCGAGGAGAGCTCCCCTGGGGGGCGCGGTGTGGGGGTCCACGAGGAGCGGTGGGGGGGGTCCTTGTTCTCAGCAGGTGTGCGGCGAGCGTCCAGCAGGGTCTTGGGCCCAGAGGCTGGGCCGCAGCTGCAGGTGGAGGTGGGCTTCAGAGCCCCTTCCCAGGGCGGCGGCAGCCCCGGCGCATGGGTGCAGGGAGCAGAGCCTCCTGGGAGAGGACGGTTGGCGCTGGGGCGTGGGCTGCGGGGCAGGGAGGCCCGGGCCGGCCGTGCGGGGCTGAGGGGAGACCTTGAAGGGGCCTGGGAGTTGGGGGCCGCTGTGCAGCCCCCAGGCCCCGCTGGACGCAGCCGCACCGTCTCTGAGCCGTGTGGCTCGGACCAGCCTTTGCCCCTCAGCCAGCGGCCCCGAGCCCGTACCCACCTGGAGCTCCCTGGGACCCTGCTCAGCCCCAGGAGGGGCAGGTGGGTGGCGGCAGGGGCGGCCTCTGTGCCTGCTCCCCAATAGCCCTGCAGGTGCTGGTCGGCTGAGCAGGGAGCCTAGAGGGGCCCAGCCAGCGGGCCGGGCCGGTCTCGGCAGAGCTGCCCTGCTGCCCGAGGCGGCGGGGGTAGGGGACGGGCGCTCGGAGTCCCCTGCCTGGCGGGCGCGCCCAGACCCGCTGGTACAGCCAGCGGGCCCTCTGCTTCCGGCCAGTCTGCTGCAGGGGTGCGGGGTCCCCTCCGCTGGCTCTGGCCTTTGGGTTAGGACCCGGCTCTTCCCCCGTAGGTCTGACAGGCAGGACCTGTCCTGCGGGGCCTTCTGTGGGTCCGGCGGCAGCAGGTGAGCCGGGCCCTGGCGGGGATGAGACGCCGCGGAGGGGCCAGAGGGACGGGGTGCAGGCAGGCCCCGGCTCCGAGACAGGAGACAGGCGGGCTGCACGCAGGGGAGCCAGCGAACACTGCCGGCATTGTAATCGGAGAGGGGCAAGGGAAAAGAGCGAGCGGAGCGAGGGCGGCTGACCCCGCGCTCCCGGGGGACAGGTGGAGCGGGAACGAGGAGCGAGTGAAGGATTCCAGAGGTGGGCCGGCTTCCTCCCTCGCAGACAGACGGGGAGGGAGGTGGCAGCGGGCCAGGCCGTACCTGCAGTTCCAATCTGCGGTCCTGACAGCTGCAGCCACTTTGGGGAGGGGGAGGGGGAGGGGCGGGCTCATCCAGTGGAACCGTCGTCGCGGCCCAGCCGCGGCCAGCTAGTGGCCGCCGCCTCCGTCCGTGCCCTTGGGGCGGGGACCCTGACGGTGGGTCCCGCGGCCTGGCCCTGGGGCAGAAGGGCCCCAGGAGAGCCAGGCTGGGGCCGCCTGCGCCCTCAGCCAGGGCTCCCAGCGCCGTGCCTGACCCGGAGGGGTTGGCGCGCGCCCCGTGGGGTCACATGCGCTTCCTGGCAGCCACAGGTGCTGGGCAGGGTGGGGGCTGGCTGGCCTGCGGGCGCAGGCGGCCTGGTGATGAATCATGTGGTGCCGCCGGCAGCTCGTTCCCCAGGCCGGGGACAGGGAGCTGACAGCCGAGGCCGGTCGGAGTGTTTCCAGCCCAGCTTGGCCCGCAGAGGCGGCTGCTGGCCCCGTGCACGCGAGCCCCCTCCTTTCCAGATGCCTGTGGGGCACAGCACAGAAATCCCGGGGCCTTTGTCCCTGGGCCTGCCCCGGTGGAGGGAAGGAAGTGGGGCTGAGGTGGGCGGGGAGCACCTGCCACCCCCAGCCCCGCGGCTGTGAGCAGCCGAGTGGACTTGCGTGGGGCCGCCCCAGCCACCCCCAGTCTGGTTTGAATTTCTGGAGCAACGGAGGGTGACGAGCGCTCCTCCCCGCCCCCTCCCCTCCCCTGCTGGCTGGCGGTCCAGGCCCTCGCCGCCGCCGCTGCTACTGGTGCAGCTCAGGGAGCAGCCGGGCCCGCTGCCCAGGCCCGAGGCCGGCCAAGCTGCAGCCGCTGCCGGAGTCACAGGCGCAGCGGCGAAGGGCTTGGCCTGGGTGCACGGCCGGGCCCCGGGGACCGTCCCAGAGGCCTGTCCCCCCCCCCCCCCGCTGGCTGCCCACCCCCACTCGCTGCCTCCGGCAGCAGCGCCCCGGGAAGGGTCCCTGACGCCTCCCCTCCAGCCTCCCCGTCTGCCCTGCTCCCGGAGGCGCCCCTCCCGCCGCACTTTCTCCCCCCCCCACCCCCCCGGCTGCGCCCTGCCTGCTCCCCCTTCCCTTGTGACCAGGATGCGAGGTGGGCGTCCACGGGCTTCCCTTCCTCTCGGGGGTTTCACGGGGGGGGGTGTTGCACCCCCAGCCTGGGCCCAGGTAGGGGATGTGAAGCCAGTGGGCCCTGGAGTCTGCACAGCCTGCCCGGTGGCCGGCACAGCAGGCAGGGGCCTCGGAGACCCGGGGAGCTGCCAGCATCTCCCCCCAGGGCATGTCCGCCAAGTGTCCCAGGGTCCCAGGAGGGGAGGGGGGTGCCTCTCTCCGTCCACAGCCAGACCCGGAGTTCCCTGGCTCCTCGGGCGGGGGCGGGCAGGGAGGGGCCTCCACAGTGACCGGCTTGCCCTCTCCCCGCTCCCTGGACCAGCTGTAGCTCCTCCAGGATTAAGGAGAGGAAATTTGGGGTTGGGTTTCTCCGAGCAGGACCTGCCGCTGTGACTTTTTATCCTGTTATATTTCTATCAGATTGGACACAGCCCCCCTCTAGCCCTTAATGGCTCTGGCTTTGAGAATTTCCTCCAAAATTACACCACCACTTCCTGCTCTGCAGTTCCCTGGAGCCCGTCTGTGCAGAGGAGGGGGCCGCTCTGGCCCTGCCCTGCTGGGGTGCCCACGTGGGCCTCGGCACCTGGCTGCTCCCCGGGGCCCCAGAGGGCACGTCGCTGGGGGCCTCGAGCCTGCCCTGAGGGCCGAGCGGGCCCAGGGCCAGCACCTGGTGCTCTGCGCCCTTCCCCGCCGGGGCCACCGCGCCCCCCCTCTCCCTGTGCCCGTGGAGCTCACGCCACTGAACTGTAATTGTCACCTGCAGGGTTTTAATGGCGAGCCAGCTGTGCACAGCTCGGGGAGGGGCCTGGATCGCCCTCCTCATTAGCAGATGGGGCTCTCGGGGAGCGGGGTGGACGCGGCGGTCAGTGACCGGGGTCCCCGGTGCGGGCAGCGCTATGAGGGCTGCGTGCAGGGCTGGGCAGGAGCAGGGCCCTGGCGGGTGCGGGCGGGTGGGGGGGGAGCGCAGGCACCGCCTCCAGGCTGTTAGGCCTCTGCTGGGCCGTGCCCAGTGCTCAGCTGCCTGGGCCGCTTCTCAGGGCCCCCCCGGCTCCAGCACGAGACCCTGGGTGGGGCCGGCCTCGCCCTTGGGGCCCCCGGGCGCCGTGCGGGCCCTGGGCCGCCTGCAGCCGTCAGCCCTGCCTTCGTCTCCCGCGGCTGGTTCCCCGCGGCTGGTTCCCGGGCAGGAGGCACCTCGCTCTGCCTCGGGCCTGGGAGGCGGGGGCTTCCCTGAGCACCGGGGTGCTCCCGGCCCGGGGGGGGCAGGACGTGGAGGGAGGCAGCGGTCGGGGTGGGAGCTGGGCTCAGTTGGTCCTGGACCCTTCAGAGGACAGTGTGCTTCCATTTTTGGAAGATACCATTTTGTTTTTAATTATACAAAATTTCCAGACTTTATATTACCATATCAAAGACACAGATGCCAGCACAAGAGCAACCAGAAGACCCAGGTGGGACGCCAGCGTGGGAAGTCCCAGCGGGCCCGGGCGGGTGCTGCGGCCGCCCGTCTGTCCAGCGGCCCTCGCGTGGCCGGAGGCGGACGCCCGGTGGGCGCCCTCACGGGGGCCTGTGCCGCGCCAGGTCCAGGGTCCGTGCGCCGCCCCGAGGCGTCGGCCTCTAGCTCCGAATCGCCGTCTTTCTGTCCCGGTCCTTGCTCTGCAGAGGGGAGGGCAGTGTCAGGGCCTGGGCCGCGACCCGGCGCCAGCCCGCGCCTCCGGGCTCCCCCACGCCGTCTCGGGTGGCGGGCAAGGGAAGCACCCCCTTTCGCGCTCACCCCGCTTCCCCGTGCGCTTGGGGAGGAGAGCACACTGCTGCGCAGCCGGAATTGTAAAATTAAATTTCCCAGATGTTCAGGCCCCAGGAGCTCGCGCGTGCTGTCTGGAGAGGAAATGGGGATTGGGGGAAGCCGAGCCGCCGCTCCTCCGTGCTCACCCTGCTTTTCCGGTGCCACCAAGCACAGCAGGAGCTGTAAATCACAGTGGCCGGCGCCCTGCAGCGCGGCCCTCGCCCCCAGCCCCCACGTCGCCTGCCGGCCTCCTGCCTTCAGGCCCACGGCCCCATCTGAGTGGGCGGCCCCGCGGCCGGGCCGGCCGGGGGAGGGACGGCAGGTGCCCGAGGAACCTCAGGCCAGCGGCAGGGGCCGGGGCCGGGGCGTGCGAGCTGCCCTGCGGGGTCTCCTCACTCCCTGGCTGCCCTGCGGGGCCTGGGGGTGCCCGAGCTGCTTGACCGACCCTCCTCTGGCCCCCATCCTGTTCCAGGTCAGTGCCTGCCCTGCGGGCCTCTCAGACCCCGACCCGGTCCCGGGCAGGGCGCCCTGGTCCCCCCGGAACCAGTGCCCTGGGGACTTGGAGGGGGAGGCCCAGCCCTGCAGCCCCAGCCTTGCCCTCCTCCATCCCTGGGAACCGCGCCCTTGGGGTACAGGTGCTGCTGGGGGCTCCGCTGCCCGGCCCTGCCCGTGTGGGTGCCCCGCGTCCACACTCACCAACTTTCTCTGGTTGCTGAGGCAGAAGGTGCAGATCTGCTTGGGCTGGGCGTTCTCCCCGTCGCGGGCGGGGGGCGGCGGGGGGCTGCCGGCGCGCGCCGCGTGGAAGAAGGCGGGCCCCGAGTGGCAGGGCTGCCCGTCGCCACAGGCCTCGCCCACCAGCAGCACGTTGCCCAGGTGCGAGATGTAGCTGGAGGCCAGGCGCAGCGTCTCGATCTTGGAGAGCTTGCGGTCGGCCGGCTCGGTGGGGATGAGCGTACGCAGCGCCGTGAAGGCAGTGTTCACGCTGTTGGTGCGGTCCCGCTCGCGCGCGTTTGCTGTGTGCCTCTGTCGGGGCTCCCGGCCCGGCCGGCCCCCGGGGCCCGGGCCGCCCCCCGCCCGACGGCCCCCGGCCCGTCTCCGGGCGCCCTGGAGGCCGCAGCGCGCCGCGTGCACGCGGCAGGGCTTCTCGTCGGAGCCCGAGCTCTCGCTGCCTCTGTCCTCGTCCTCCGACAGCGGGCTCACCTCGGGGTACAGGTAGCGGCCAGGCGGCGCGGAGCGCAGCATGGCGAAGGACACGGCGGGCCGCCGTCAGCTCCTCCGCGCGCAGCGCATGCCGCCGGGCCTCGTGGGCGGGCGCCCGGGCCGGGGAGGCGCGGGTCTGGGGCGCCCACGGTGGCGGCGCGCCGCGCGCACGTGTGCGTCCCAGGCTGGAGCGGGGGCTGCAGGCCGGGCCTTTATAGCAGTGGCGGCCCCTCCCCCGCGCAGGCCCGCCCTCCTCCCCGCCTCCCAGCCCCTGGAGGCCGCTGGAGCAGGGGCCCTGCGTCCCTCTGCCTTCTCCCGCCGCGCCGGAGGGGCCCGGAGCATCTCGCTGTCTCTCGGGGATGCAGGGGAAGTGGGAGCCCCCTTGTGGGTGGCTCTGGGGCAATGCAGTCCCTTCCTCTACCCCTCAGCCAAGGCGGGAGGGTCAAATGGGACCCATGACCCCAGCCTTCTCCGGTGGCGTGACCAAGGCAACCCAGCTGCCCTGGCCTGGGCGCCAAGCCACACCCTGTCTGTGCTCCCTCCCGTGCACTCTCGGGCCCTCTGTGCCAGGCATGGGGGGCACAGAACACCGAGGGGCTGGAGCTCGGCCCCAGCCCCTGAAGCCCCGCTCACATCTACACGTGGGGTCCCCTGGGGGGCGCAGCCTGTCTGTCCTGCACCTGCCCCCTTTCCTGGCTCCCGCTGCTCCCCTGCTCAGCAGAGCCCTCCCTGTGCCCCTCCCTACCCCTGCCGCTGGGTTCCCCACCAGGTCTGCCCAGTTAAGAAATGGCCAGGGAGACTTGGGGACACTGGAGGCCCCCCACCCTGTGCAGGGAGAAGGAAGGGCATTCCTAGCAACGGGCGCTTCCTGGGAGCACTCAAGCCGGCAGGTCCTGGGGTGGGCAGGTGCAGAGGGGCAGAGCCCAGGGGGTCCTGCCGGGTGGGGGCCTCGGGCTCCCGCTGGGCCCCGTCTCCTCCGAGCCCCGCCCCCTGTGGCTACTGTTGCAGGAAGCAGCCGCCTGGGCAGCAGCCTTCGTGCTGGGCGGAGGGAGGGTGGTGGCTGGCAGGGGCCTCGACCAGGAATGTGTATCCAGGAATGTGGCTGCTCTGCCCGTTGGGAGTGGGGGGGCAGGATGGGGAGGCGGGGAGGGGGTCTTCGAGTGCCTGTAGGGTAACGTGCAGTGGCTCCTACCGCCCCTTGGAGGGGTTGGCAGGGCCTTCCCTGCCTGTGGCGGCCCATTTCTGCGTAAGGCCCCGCCAGGGGAGGGAGCCCACGCGATGAGCTCACCCTTGTCTGTGGCTCCAGAGCCCTGGCCAGGGAATCCGGGGCGGGGGGGGGGGGCGCTTGGGGTCGGCACCGCTTCAGTGGAAAATGTGAGGTGCGGCTCCGGAGCCTCTGCGGGCTGAAGGGGGGCAGCCCGGTCGCCGTGCCACGTCACCGCCCAGGGCCAGCACGTGTAGGGGTGCCTGGCCCTGCCTCAAGGCCCCTCCCGGGGCCTCGCCCTTCCGCCTCACCCTCGGCTCCGCAGGGGTGGGCAGGGGTGGGCAGCCACCGCTGACAGGCCATCTCCTGCCAGGACGTGCGGAACACGGTGGGCAACGTGCCGCTGCAGTGGTACGAGGACTTCCCGCACGTGGGCTACGACCTGGACGGCAGGCGCATCTACAAGCCGGTGCGAACCCGGGACGAGCTGGACCAGTTTCTGGACAAAATGGACGACCCTGCCTACTGGTGAGCCTGGGGACGGCCCGGGGGGCGGGGCGGGGCGGGGCGGGGCGCTGGGGTCTGACCAGCGGCCCCCCAGGCGCACAGTGCAGGACCGCATGACGGGGCGTGACGTGCGGCTGACGGACGAGCAGGTGGCCCTGGTGCAGCGGCTGCAGAGGGGCCAGTTTGGGGACGCGAGCTTTGACCCGTATGAGGTAGGTGGCAGTGGCCGGCCCTGGGGCCTGGGGCGCCCGCAGGACCCTGGCCTGCAGCCTGCGCTTGTCCCCCCAGCCGGCCGTGGACTTCTTCAGTGGGGACCTCATGATCCACCCTGTGACCAACCGCCCCGCCGACAAGCGCAGCTTCATCCCGTCCCTGGTGGAGAAGGAGAAGGTGGGTGTCTCCCGCCCCGGGGCACGGCCCCCGCACCGCCTGCCCTGACCGCGTGTCCATCCGCAGGTCTCTCGCATGGTGCACGCCATCAAGATGGGCTGGATCCAGCCCCGCCGGCCCCGGGACCCCACCCCCAGCTTCTATGACCTGTGGGCCCAGGAGGACCCCAATGCCGTGCTGGGACGTCACAAGATGCATGTGCCTGCGCCCAAACTGGCCCTGCCTGGCCACGCCGAATCCTACAACCCACCTCCCGAGTACCTGCCCAGCGAGGAGGAGGTGGGTTTGGCCCAGGTGGGGCTGGGGCCTGGGCCCCACGCCCACCCCAGCTCAGCCCCCGCTCACCCCCGTCCACAGCGCCAGGCATGGGAGCAGCAGGAGCCCGAGGAGCGGAAGCTCAACTTCCTGCCACGCACATTCTCGAGCCTGCGGGCTGTGCCCGCCTACAGCCGCTTCATCCATGAGCGCTTTGAGCGCTGCCTGGACCTCTACCTGTGTCCACGGCAGCGGAAGATGAGGGTATGCAGGGAGCGGTCCGCCGGGCAGGGGTGTGGGGGAGGGGCACAAGGCGACCACATGTTCTTCGGCCCCAGGTAAACGTGGACCCTGAAGACCTCATCCCCAAACTGCCTCGGCCTCGGGACCTCCAGCCGTTCCCCACGTGCCAGGCCCTGGTAAGCAGCGGGGGAGGGTGGGGAGCACGCCCCTGGGCACCCATCTCCTCACGGCCCCCCCCCTGCAGGTCTACAAGGGCCACAGCGACCTCGTCCGCTGCCTGAGCGTCTCCCCCGGGGGCCAGTGGCTGGCTTCAGGTGGGCCTTCGCGGGGGGGCGGGGGGGGCCTGCAGGCTGGGAGCCCGCGTCGGGGGCAGGCGCTGAGGGCCGCCTGCTGTGTGCGCCCAGGTTCGGACGACGGCTCGGTGCGGCTCTGGGAGGTGGCCACCGCCCGCTGCGTGAGGGTGGTGCCGGTGGGGGGCGTGGTGAAGAGTGTGGCGTGGAACCCCCACCCCACCACCTGCCTGGTGGCTGTGGCTGTGTAAGTGCAAGGCTTGGGGCCGGGGTGGGGGGCGGGGGGCGCACAGCAGAGCTGCCGTGTCTGAGGGGCTGCATCTGGCCCTGGACTGCAGGGAGGACACGGTGCTGTTGCTGAATCCGGCCCTGGGTGACCACCTGGTGGTGGGCAGCACAGACCAGCTGCTGAGCGCCTTCACCCCGCCTGAGGAGCCTGCCCTGCAGCCTGCCCGCTGGCTGGAAGCCTCGGAGGAGGAGCACCGGGGGGGCCTGCGGCTGCGCATTTGCCACGGCAAGGTGCGGGGGGGTGCGGGGCGCGGGGCGCGGGGCTGGGCAGCGCGGTGGGGGCGCCGAAGGGCTGTGCTCAGCAGCCTTCCTTGTCTCCTGCAGCCAGTGACCCAGGTGACCTGGCATGGGCGTGGGGACTACATGGCCGTCGTGCTGGCCACCCAGGGCCACACCCAGGTGCTGATCCATCAGCTGAGCCGGCGCCGCAGCCAGAGCCCGTTCCGCCGCAGCCATGGACAGGTGCAGCGCGTGGCCTTCCACCCGATCCGGCCCTTCCTGCTCGTGGCCTCCCAGCGCAGCATCCGCCTGTACCACCTGCTGCGCCAGGAGCTCACTAAGAAGCTGATGCCCAACTGCAAGTGGGTGTCCAGCCTGGCTGTGCACCCTGCAGGTGAGGGCAAGGGGCCAGGCGTGCCCTGGGGTGGGGGGGTATGGGGACACACCCCTTGGGTGGAGCCGCCAGGCCCCAGGCCCCCACCACCACGTCTGTCCCCAGGGGACAACCTCATCTGCGGCAGCTACGACAGTAAGCTGGTGTGGTTTGACCTGGACCTCTCCACCAAGCCCTACCGAGTGCTGAGGTGAGGCCCCCCTCATGCATGTTGGGGGGAGGCGGTCCTTCCCCTGCCCCCCTCACTCAGGCCCCCTTCGCAGACACCACAGGAAGGCTCTGCGGGCAGTGGCCTTCCACCCGCAGTACCCGCTCTTCGCGTCCGGCTCCGATGACGGCAGTGTCATCGTCTGCCACGGGACGGTGTACAAGTGAGTGCCAACCCCCGCCTGCCCCGCCTGCCCTGCGGGGACCGGGTGCCTGTCTGAGCCGCCCCCTGCCCCCCACAGCGACCTGCTGCAGAACCCGCTGCTGGTGCCCGTGAAGGTGCTGAAGGGGCACGCGCTGACCCGCGACCTGGGCGTGCTGGACGTGGCCTTCCACCCGACCCAGCCGTGGGTCTTCTCCTCGGGGGCCGACGGCACAGTCCGCCTCTTCACCTAGGGGCCTGCTGCTCTGGGTCCCACGCCTGCTCACGCCCCTCAATAGAGACGTTTCTCTCCTCTGACTTTGTAGTATGACCTTGAATCTGCGTTCTTGCTGGGGCCCCCCCTCCCCCGCCGTCCCGCCTCACTGCATCGCCCCTCTGGGGGCGACCCGCTGACCTGTCCCACAAGGAAAGGCATGGCATTGCACCCCCTCACCTGCTGAGGAGCGAACGGCTTTATTGGGAGTGAGGTGGGGACGCAGGCTGCCCTGCGCCAGCTGGTACTGCGTGTGGGGGCGCGCGCAGGGGCCTCAGGCGAACTTCACCAGGCGGCCCAGAGTCTCCGCGGCCTGGCCTCGCACTGCGGGGGCCGGGTCCTTGAGCAGGAGCTGCAGGGCTGCAGGACAGGGAGCCGTGCTGCGGGCGCCTCCGCGGCCCTTCAGCGCTGGCTCTCCTCCGGGTCCCCACGCACAGCTGCGCCGGGCCTTGGCCCGCCCCCTTCCCGGCGCAGAGCCAGGACCCCGTGGAGCCACTCCCCACCCTGCGCGTGGGGCTGCCGCCCGCCCACCGCCCTCCTGCAACAGGCCTCTGCTGGGAGGGCTTGGGAGCCAACGGAAAGATAGTTTTTCCTTTTTTAGTGTTTTTTAAGCTCTTTTGGAACAGTTAAGAAGTTTCCGTGAATTACTAGAGACGATGAGGTCACCAGTGACAGGGAAAAAATCCTTGAAATCCAGGAAAATCACTTAGTCCCCCCCTGGTGCCCACAGGGTCAGCAGGAGCCCTGTGCAGCCCGACAGGTGGGGGGGCGGGGGGGCTGCTCACCAGCAGTGAGCTGCTCCAGGTCCACCTGTGACCGATGCTGGGGCTCCACGTGCAGCACCAGGAACCCTGCGGGCAAGGGTCAGGGTCAGGGCGGCGGCCAGCCGCGGTGGAGGGGTGCGGGGGAGGGCACTCACCCGTGAGGAGGGGGGCCGCGGCGCGGACGTCCTCCCAGCTGCTCTTGAAGTAGAACAGGCTGGTGCTCACCAGGCGGCCCAGCAGGTCGGGAAAGTGGCGCATCTGCAGAGACCCCCCCCCCAGCTAGTCACGTGCACCCCGCGCCAGCCACGCCCCCGCACGCTGCCGCCACGCCCCCTCACCAGGTGCTTGCAGGCTGCGTTGAGGAACTCCCCGAAGTGCAGGCCGCGGCCGTCCTGCAGGTGTTTCTGGAAGGCAGCCGCCAGGTCCTCGCACTCCAGGTTGGGGCCACACATGCGCAGCGCAAACCTGCAGGCCTGCAGGGCAGACGCTCAGGTTCCCGGCCCAGCCCGAATGGGCTGCCCCACGCCCCGGCACTGGCTACTTACATCAACGACGGGGGCCTGGGGGTCCCGCAGGTGCAAGAGCAGGGGCACCAGCCCGCCGACGACCTGCTCCAGGAAGACGTCCTCGCAGGCCCCGTGGCAGGCCTCGTTGAGGTGCCCGAAGAGGCGGATGGACACGGAGCGGAACTCCATCTTGTCCTGGGGGACACGCGGGCGTCACCCCATCCCTGCCCACACGCCGGCCCCCTTCCCTACACATCCCTGTCCTTGTGCCAGGCACAGTGGGCAGGCCCCCCCGCTCCCCGCCCTGCTCACGCTGTCGAAGAAGGGCCGGATGCGGACGGCCGTGTGCAGCAGCACCGAGTGCAGGTCCCCGGGCTCCACCAGGCCCAGCAGCCTTGCCAGGCCTGCCATGGCCGACAGGGCCACCAGCCCGTGTGGGTCGTCCCCGTCGTCCAGCCCGCTGATCATGGCTGTCAGGAGCTGCGGGCCATGGAGCCGCACCTGGGGGTGCCCTGCGCTCAGCTGTGTCCCCAGGCCACCAGTCCCTGGTGCCCATCGCGCATCACATCGCAGAACCACCCACCCCGCTGCCCTGTGGTTGCCAGGCCGCCTCTGCACGTCCCTGCCCCCACACCCTGTCTGCCCAGGACTCCCAGGCCCCAGCTCAGCTGTCCTTCACGGTGCGGGCCCCCGAGGGGCCGCCTGGCCCACTGACCTTGTCAGGGGCGCCCGAGGCAACGTTGGCCAGGCCGCGCAGCACCAGCCGCCGCACGCCGGCGCATGGGTCCCTCTGCCGGGCTGCCAGGCCGTCCAGCAGCGGCTCCAGAAGCATCAGGTCGTTCACCACGTTGCTGCTGAGCAGCTGGGGGCAGAGGCGCCGTGACCTCCTGCTCCCCCAGGGCGCGCCCGCCGGCCCGAGCCACCGCCCTGGGGGCTGCAGAGCTCCTCCCTGCCAGCCCCTCCTACCACTCCCCACTGCGCTGCTGGGTCACCTCGTCCCAGGCCCCTGGGAGGGGGGTACACGGCAAAGGCCAGCTGAGGGCCGAACTAGGCCCATGGCCTAGCCGCCGCCTCTCCCCACACTTGACCGCAGCCCCGTCGGTGCTTCGGCCCAGCCCAGGCCACGCACAGCCCAGGCCTCCCTCCACAGGGCACAGAGCAGGGGCGTCACCAGGCGGGGCCCAGAAGCTGCTGTGCCCGCAACACCAAGCTGGGGCTCGGCACAGTGCTGGCCGGGCGGGTCAGTGCTGGCCGCCCCGGGCCCCATGAGGGGTCCACAGCAGGCAGCATCTACCTCGGCCAGGAAGGCTGTGGAGGTGACCCTCTGGACTTCGTAGACGCTGCTGTGTGCACCCAGGAGCTCCTTCATCACCAGGGGCAGCCGGGGGCCAGCGAACTTCGCCATGGCGCTGCGGGGGGAGGCCGCACCATGCAGGGGTGGTGCTTTGGGCCGCCCGAGCCCACCCTGGGCCAACTCCCCCATGGAATGCGGGTGGGGGCTGCTTCTGCTTTCGCTCTGCCCAGCGGACCCTCTGGCCCATGAGCCTGCCCCCAGCTGCCTGGCCTGGCGCACCGCCCCCCCGGACACGCCCCTCCCAACCCACCTTGCCAGGCCTTCCCTGAGCGGCCGCCTCGCCCCACGCCCAGCCCCAGGGCAGGCACCGCCACCTGAGGTGCACAGCTGCCTTCATGGCCCCCCCACTTCGCATGCCAGGCGCGGGCCCTACGCCGGCCCTCACCAACGTACTTGCTCTCGGGCCGGACCCACAGACTCGGGAAGCTCGGTCCCCTCCCGCGTGCCACCAGGTGTCCCTCGTTTGTGCCTCCCTTGGGGGCCCGGGGCCCCTCGACATCGCCGCAACAAGAGCCACCCACAGCGCTCACCTGGCCAGCCGGGCGACCCCGTCCTCGTGCCCTGCGGAGGTCCTCAGCAGCTCCCAGCCCCCCTCCAGCTCCAGGCGCTGCACCACGTCCTCACTGCCGCCCCGGAGCAGCGCAGCCCGCAGCGCGTCCACTGAGGAGCTGCGGGGCGGGCAGGCAGGTGTGCGCTCAGCGCCATGCGCACCCACCCAAGTCCCAGGGCGGGCAGCCCGCGCCCTGCCGGCTCCCCCTGCCGGGAGCGGGCCGAGGGCTCGCCCTCCCCGCGCGGGGCCCAACCAGGCAGCTCTGGACCACCCAGTGTCCCGTCTCCTGCACCTGGGTCCGTTCCTGCTACGTGCACAGCCACGCCCACCACCCAGGGAGGCCCCCACCACCTTTCGGGAGTGGACCGCAGGCAGGGCCCAGCCTGCTCCCAAATATGTGACTGGGCCACTGTGGAAATGAGCAGCCTCTGCTCCGAGGACATAGGAGAGCCAAGAGCTGGGGCAGCTGTCGGGAGGTGTCCAGCTCTGTCCGCCTGCTCAGCCCATGACGGGGGGACAGGTGTGCGCCTTGCCTGCTGCCCCGCCCAGAACCCGGCAAGAAGGGCCAGAGTCCACGGGGCCCAGCTGGGACTCGGTGCCTGTGCCTCCTGCCTGGACAAACCCCCGGCTCCGACAGAGGAAAGCAGCGTGGGCCCTGTGCCTGGCAGGACCTCCCGGCACAGCCTGTGGCTTGGAGACAGCACAGCAGGGTCCCCAGCCACACAGAGAGCACCTTCGCCCTCACTGGCCTCCTCTCCCCAGCACGGTGGCAGCTCCACTGGCCTGTGGGCCCCGAGGCATTGTCCCTGGGAGTGCCGGGCCCAAGGGCAGACACCCCCCTGGGGTGCAGCGCACCGGACTTGCCTCCCTCAGCCCACAGGTGGACACAGCCCAGTGTGCTTGGCCCACCCCTCCCCGTGGCCGCCCTCAAGAAGTGTCCGAGAACACCCTCCCCGCAGCCCCCTCCCCGAAAGAAAGCACTAAAGGCCGCTCTTGCTGTCCCCGGAGCCCAGAGCCCAGGGGGCGCACAGTTGCTGTGGGGTTGCCCTCACCGGCCACCAGAGTCACCGGGCGCACGCCCAGGGCAGCCCCACACCCTGCCCTGGGCTGAGACCGGCGCTCGGGGCGGCTCCCGGGTGCCGCGCTGGCCGGGGAGAATGTGAACGATTTAAGGGAGGGGCCTCCCCTGCCCGTCTGCGCGCCGCCTGGAATTTCTGTGGATGTGGCATTTGCAAGGGTCTGACTCGCTGGCTGACAGCCTCCATCACCGCCAAGGCCTGTGCCTGGATCTGCTCGTGTCCCTGCTCAGGGGTGGCAGCCCAGGGGCCCCGGGTGGGGGCGTGCGGCCTGCAGTCTCCGCCGCTCACGGCCAAGGGGCAGCGTCCTGGCGCGCCAGGCCCGGGGCTTGTTGGGCTAGTGTCCTCTGGTCGGTTCACTTTTTCCACTTGGTCTGTGCAGAGCTGGGCAGGCCCTGGCACACGGCCCCTGCTAGACTTTACAAGCTGGTCCTGCAGGGAGCAGCCCTGCAGTTGGGACGGGGTGGAGGGACACTGCCCCTGGGTGTCCTGGCCAAGGGGCACATCCAACCTGAGACCTGGGACGGAAAAGGAGGCGACCTGGCCTGTCACTCAGGCTCTAGTGGCCCTGAGCTGTCAGCTTCCTGTGCTCACCCTGTGGCCCCAGGCAACTGTTCGGATCCACGAGATGCCAGCGTTTGGGAGCTGGTGAGAGCCCCAGAGATCGGGATGGGCAGGCAGCCACCCAGGCTGCTGAAGCTCTGAGACCCGCCCTCAGCAAGGAGCTCGATCTCGCCTGTGCCGTCTCCTGCCAGGACCCTCGGGAG